GAACTGACCTTACGTTATATTAACATGTCCTTAAATCATGCGCTAAAATGTTTGAAGCACACATTTCATTGATTTTAACAGTGGGTAACTTAGTAATATAGCTTCTGGTATAACTCCTGTGTCATAATTTTCTTAAGGTTAAGAAGTTGTATAATTGTCTATTTATATCATCAGGAAGAAGAACAGACCAGGAAAGGTTTAACTAAGAGAATATGCAAACAAATGTGTAAGTATAATAAATGTATAACATATAGATCAGAAGTTATCAATCAAATTGGGTATCAGATGAGGATTCATAATTTTATAAATGAGAGCTAAAATTTGAACACCCTTCCTACAATATGACCAAAAACAATGTCATAGCAGAATCCTTATTGTGTACAAGCAATCTTGGCCCGGGGCCTAAAGTCTGTCCAAAGAAGCTATTGTGATCTATTATTTGCCCCCCATTTGCAAATTGTCTTTTTAAACAACTCAAAAAAAAGAATAGCTTGATGTGTCAGAATGTCACACAAATGCTAGAGGACCTCTCATTGTTACATATTACTTGGCCACATGAATGTTTTAATTGATGACTTGATTACAGATTGAATATTAAGCGTTATGTATGATCCAGATCAGGTAGTCTGTCAACACCATGACATTTCCAGCTGGATTTGCATATTACTTTAATGAATTTGAATTCAGTCAAAGTGTTGCCTATTGTGAAGATAAATGCATGGATGTTTTAGACCTATATAACTCAGGCACACTAGTGTTTTCTACCTACAGTGATCTTGAGTTCTGTAAAATCTTCTGTGAACTGAATGCCTTTTCTGTAGTGTTTTATGCAATTGCAGAAATATACTTTTGTGAATTTCATAGAACACCAGGTAAATATTTGTCCTAAAACAACACCAAATGTTTTTAAGGTACAAATCTCAAATAATCACAAACGCTTTATGAGATCAAGGATCCAGTGCTTGCAATACATTTTGAACATGGTTAAGTTTTTGTCAGTCCTATCTTTGCAAATCTCTGAATTACCTGGAGGCACATGTTGATGATATTTGACCAGTAGCATGCTAAGATAGAGTGCTGTAACATGTTTTAAAACAAATGACTTTGAACTAATTTCAAGGTCACAGGGGTCAAAAATGTAAACATTTGAACAACTTCTTCTGAAAAACCAAGAGGCTATATGGGTAATGATATTTGACCAGTAGCATGCAGGAATAAAGCACAATAAATTTACATCAAATAATTGACCTTGATCCTATTTCAAGGTCACTGGCCTGGGGTCAAATCTGTTAAAACCTTTAAAAAAACTTCTTCTGAAAAACCACTAGACCCAGAGTGATGATATTTGGTCAGTAGATGCATGCTTGGATGGAGTGCTAATATTACTTCCTAAATGAATTACCTTGACCTATTTTTAATCTCACAAGTGTCAAACATGTTAGAAACCTTTTAACAATTCATAAGATCATACTGTATATCGGCCCTTTTTGTTTGTTTGTTTGTTTGATTTTGTTTAACGTCCTATTAACAGCTAAGGTCATTTAAGGACGGCCTCCCCTGTGTGCAAGATGCATGCGTGTAGTGTATGCGTGTGTATTTTGGGAGGCTGCGATATGTTCGTGTTTGTCTTCTTGTAATAGCGCGGAACTGTACAATATATTGTAAACCCTTTATTTTTTGGTTGTATTATAGTTCACCTGCCAGAAGGTGCTAACAAATTAAAATTAAAAAAATATATATTTAAAAACATTAAAATATGTGCATTCATATGCCTTAGCTTCATGCAAGCTATTTGGAGCACTGATATTCAGTCTGTTATTTTGTTAAATTGTCCAAGTTTAAAATTCTTCATACCATTAGCCTAAGCTAGAGTCTTTAGGCTTATTGATACAAGCTTTAGTACAAAACATCAAAATTTTGATCTAACATTAGTGTTGATTATATCGCTACGAATTGTCAACGTGTTCCAAATTGATGTGTAATATATACATGTATAGTACATTAATCTACTAATTAAACCATATTGCACACCTCTTTGTGTTACATATATGTTATACTCTGGTGCTAGACACAACCAATTTTGTCAGAATATACTAGATAAAGTTCGGTCAATGACCGGCCAGTGTTCAGTCCAAAAAAAATGGATACTTAACCATAATTCTTTAACTGTAGTATGTAAACAAAAGATACCAAATTTGACTTAATATTTATTTTCAGCTTCCAGGTCTTCAGCGAGAATTCGTGCTAAGAAGATAACAGACGGTGGAAAGGAGATGACTGATGGTGGAAAGAATATTACAGATGATGTAATGGAAATGAGTGATGATAATGAAGAACTAGAGATGACAAGTGCTGATTTATTTGCAGGGAAAAGAAGAAAAACAGATTCAGCAGAAAAAGTTACCTCGACAGGTAAATTATAATTTACTTGCTGTGCAAAGTTGGTCAGAATCAAACGGAAAGTCAAGTGACTAAAGGTCAAGGTCATTGGGTCAAATTTGTATATTTTTACTGGTAAATATTGACAGGCGTATAATGGCCTTTGGCCTCTTGTTAGGTATCACGATGTATCATATTTGCCAGATGATGTATCGTGCATAGGTTGGCGATACAATTCACTGATGAATCTTTACACCACTATACATTATGTAATTGTATAAAATAGACTGGAAAGATTATAATTCACAACAATATTATCAGTATCACATGTCTTTCCGAAATATGTTTCTTTGGATGTTTTTACAGGTCACCAGACTTTTTGACATTTGACTTTAAACAGTCCAGTGTCGAAACAATCATATTTTGACATCTGCTACATGTATAAATATCTTACATTTTACTAAATTTAACTTCAGGCTTCATTTGCCATTTATGCGACCTCACATACCGGCGAGAGAGAACACTTCAGATCCACAATGACAAATGCCATCCAGGTACATATACTCAAGTAATTGATGAATTTCATAACAAACTCTTCCATGTCTTTGAAATATTTAATGAACCGGCTATTATTAGGCCAAGCCAAATTGATAACTTGTTTGTTGGGAAATGGAAATCTAAAACGTGAGCGAGCGCAGATCTACTGTAAACGTGGAATATTACGCGTGGGGGAAATTTACGCTTATTACGCGGAGCTGGATCGTCCGCGTAAATTTCCCCTGCGCGTATGGTTTCATCGATAATGTACGGAACGACAACTCTGATAGATATTGGTACGTGTGTGTGATGTCCTTCTGTAATATTGCTTTGTTAACGTATTACTACCTAACGTAAATTGTCTTGTAATGGTATAAAATAAAAACAATAACAACTGAAATAAACTACTCGATTAATATTTGTTTTAATGAACAACAAATTTGAATATATATATAAATGCACAGAGAAAGTCGTGAATAAACCCGGGTGCATCTAGGTCCGGTATACACCGTGTCTACGGGACACAAACAGCAAGCAGTCGTGTGCAACGATCCCTACACAGGTAAATGTCCCTGTCATCATGGAAGCGACACTAATTGCGCTCGATTAGTTACAATAACTTAGGAATAGTGTATGGTTTTATCATTGTTATTTGGAAAACGTGTTTGTTTTGACTAAATAGCACTCACCTGTTTGATCCGAGGTGATTACGAGATCAGCTGGTATAAGACACACATACACATGAATACAGTTTACCTTTATTTTCACCTATCCAATGACCAATCGGTAGGCATACGTAACATGTACTCAGTAGCTAGTATTTTTAACTGTCCACATGTTGTAAAGTAATGGAGATAACTCTGCAGTGTAAACGTCGATCTACCGCGACCGCGTAAATTACCCCTGCGCGTATAGTTTTGAACTTCAAATCGCGTAATTTTCACCTAGCGTAAATAATCACATTTACAGTATTAACTGGTAATTATGTTGTTGTGACATTATGAAGCAAAGTTGTTCAGAATCAAACAAGAAGTCAAATTATCAAAGGTCAAGGTCACCAAATCAGAGGTCAAGGTCAAATTTTGTATCTCTGAACTGGTAAATATTTTGTAATGACATTATGAAGCGAACTTGTGGTGTCGCCCAATTCAGTCCTCCACCCTGCAGGAGCTTGCCCAGGCATTGTTTGAGGAGTGGAGCAACATTCCCCCTCACATCATCCGACGTTATATTAGCTCAATTCGGTGTTGTTGCAATGCAGTCATCCAGGCTGATGGAGGCCATGCAGTACTACTCAACATGAAAACTAAAAGATCATGACCCCCATCATCGTTGGATTCCCAGTATTGATTTTGCTTCGGTATACTCACTCACCGGAGCGAAATCAACCGCGGGTATACAATGACGGACCCCCACCTGATGTCAACGTCCCGAAGTATTGCTGAACCATAACACATTACTTTAACATTTAATATTCCAATAGCATCGTCCCAATCAATCATTTCATGTTAAATTCAACATATAAAAACATGATATAGAGGCCCCTGTTACATTCTTTTTTTTTGCTGAGTATGTAATGATTCAACTGATTGGTTGTTTTGTTTTCATGTGGATTCAGAAGATTTCAATAATTGTAGTATTGTTTAATATCGGCTCTGTAAACATTTTCTTAAAAAGAAATTAAATGTTTTTGTTTTGTTTTGTAGATTATAAATGGCAGAAGACATTGAGGGTCATCCTGGATGATTGTAGAAGAAAAATTTCTTCCAAATCACAAGATAATGGAAAGGAGATGACAGATGGCAGAAAGACAGATGATGGAAAGGAGATGACAGAGGGTGGAAAGGAGATGACAGATGGCAGAAAGACAGATGATGGAAAGGAGATGACAGAGGGTGGAAAGGAGATGACAGATGGCAGAAAGACAGATGATGGAAAGGAGATGACAGATGGTGGAGAAAAGTGATGGTGGAAAAGAGATGACAGATGGTGAAGAGAAGATGACAGATGGTGGGAAGGAGATGACTGATGGTGGAAAAGAGATGACAGATGGTGGAAAGGAGATGACAGATGGTGGAAAGTAGATGGCAGATGGTGAGAAGGAGATGACTGATTGTGGAAAGGAGATGACTGATGGTGGAAAGGAGATGACAGATGGTGGGAAGGAGATGACTGTTGGTGAGAAGGAGATGACAGATGGTGGAAAGGAGATAACAGATGGTGGAAAGGAGATGACTGATGGTGGAAAGGAGATGACAGATGGTGGAAAGGAGATGACTGATGGTGGAAAGGAGATGACAAATGGCGGAAAAGAGATGAGAGATGGTGAGAAGGAGATGACTGATTATGGAAAGGAGATGACTGATGGTGGAAAGGAGATGACTGATGGTGGAAAGAATATTACAGATGATGTAATGGAAATGAGTGATGATAATGAAGAAATAGAGATGACAAGTGTTGATATATTTGCAGGGAAAAGAAGAAAAAAAGATTCAGCAGAAAAAGTTACCTCGACAGGTAAATTATAATTTACTTGCTGTGCAAAGTTGGTCAGAATCAAACGGAAAGTCAAGTGACTAAAGGTCAAGGTCATTGGGTCAGATTTTGTATATTTTTTTCTGGTAAATATTGACAGGCGTATAATGGCCTTTGGCCTCTTGTTAGGTATCACGATGTATCATAATTGCCAGATGATGTATCGTGCATAGGTTGGCGATACAATTCACTGATGCATCAGTGAATCTTTACACCACTATACATTATGTAATTGTATAAAATAGACTGGAAAGATTATAATTCACAACAATATTATCAGTATCACATGTCTTTCCGAAATATGTTTCTTTGGATGTTTTTACAGGTCACCAGACTTTTTGACATTTGGCTTTAAACAGTCCAGTGTCGAAACAATCATATTTTGACATCTGCTACATGTATAAATATCTTACATTTTACTAAATTTAACTTCAGGCTTCATTGCCATTTATGCGACCTCACATACCGGCGAGAGAGAACACTTAAGATCCACAATGACAAATGCCATCCAGGTACATATACTCGAGTAATTGATGAATTGCATAACAAACTCTTCCATGTCTTTGAAATATTTAATGAACCGGCTATTGTTAGACCACGCCAAATTGATAACTTGTTTGTTGGGAAATGGAAATCTAAAACGTGAGCGAGCGCAGATCTACTGTAAACGTGGAATATTACGAAGCAAAGTTGGTTAGAATCGAACAAGAAGTCACATGATCAAAGGTCAAGGCAACTGGGTGAAAGGTCAAATTGTGTATCCCATAACTGGTAATTATTTTGTTAGGACATCATGAAACAAAGTTGGTTGGAATCAAACCAAAAAGTCAACTGCCCAAAGGTCAAGGTCACAGAGGTCAAATTTTGTTACATCTTTACTGTAAAATATTGACGGCTGTATTATGGACTTTGGCCTCTTGTTACAAATATGGACATCCATTTTGCAGGTTTTTCCACACTCCAGCTGCCCTTATGTGCAATATGTATTTCATTTTTTTCTCGACCTCCCCCAAATCGAGAGCGGTAATCTCGACGAACAAGTAATCAATTTGGCGTGAACTAAAACAAAATTTTCTCTCGTGTCTATATTCTTTGTTTACATTTGACCTGTCATAGACCTATTGCACATTCTCCGCAAGATTTTTTGATGGGTTCACCAGATATTCAGATGATTTATAATTGGAAGATACGTCTTGTGTGTCTTTTAAACATATTCTAAGTTGAGGAATATTAACACAGCGACAGCAGTTTGTATATGTAGGTCAATATACCATAGTCTTGGTACTATTGGCTATATAGTCTATTTCGGAAAAGTGTATCTGTAATTGTAGCCCGCCTCCCCCTTTCGTGAAATGCCGGGGCATCTATTAGAGAAAATAGAATATGTATATTTATCAAAGCGTAATCAATAGCTTTATGGAATGGGACTTTAAAAAACTTCAAAATACTTCTATGTGTGGGTATACTAATTTGAAAATGCCCCAAAACTTAAAAAAAAACTTCTATGGGTGGGTATCCCAATTTGCAAGTGCCATTTATGTTTAAATGGAACAGTCCTTATATTACCTACCTGTACATGTATAAAAAATATTTAAATTTGAATTTTTAGTGGTCAACCATGGCCAGGATGAAGACTATTCATGCGACGAATGTTCAGATGACAGTACCGATACCTGTGATCCTAACTTCGAGTGTACTGCAAGTGAAATTGAATATGTCACAAGCGATGATGACTTTGCTTCAACAGATCACAAAATAGCACGAAGAAACGATATAGAAAAGGATTTTATAGACCACGTTTCAGATAGTGAGATGTCGGATGTCATTGTTAATGAGTGCTATTTTAGTGAACTTGACCCTGAATTAAACACGGAAATAGGTACATCAGAAAGAAAAACCAATGAGAATACTGAGGACACTGAGGACGAGGGTGGAACACAAATATTTGGATTATTGCCAAAAGGACAAAAAAAAGAAGGATGTAAAAACACTTATGATAAACAGAATTATTGCACATTCTGCAAAAAAATGATAAAAAGCAAAATTTCACGTCATCTTTTAAATGTTCATAAACTGGAACCAAGAGTGAGCAAAATATGCCTACTAACTAAAAGATCAGACGAGCGTAGAATCGAGTTAGAAATGCTGGCCAATGAAGGCAACTTCAAACACAATATAAAGGTTCTACAAGACCAGGAAGGAATGCTAGTAGTGGGGAGAAGGGAAACAACAGGACGGAACATTCAGCCTGGAGACTATTTACCTTGTGAATACTGCAGAAAGTTCATAATGAAGCATACTCTCTGGTGGCATCACCGAACATGCACAGTTCGAAAGTTTAACGAAGTGAAGGAACCAGACGTAGAAAATGACGACGACGTAGAAAATGACCAGAATTTGAACACAAACAACGCTGTACGACGTGGACGCCATCTCTTACATAGTGCATTAATGGAGGAGTCTGATCCATTCGTGAAAAAAATGTTGGACAGGATGCACAATGATGAGGTCAAGGATGTTGTTGCACATGATAAGCTTATTAGGAAATATGCAGCGCTGCGTGTGGAAGACCTGGGCAGTGAAAGCGACCAGAAAATAAACGATATCCACAGGGTATCACAGTGTTGCCGGACATTAGGAAGATTGATTTTGCAATGCAGAGAAATAAACCTTACTTCGATGATCAATATTGACAGCCTCATTTCACCAGAACATTTTGATCTTGTCGTCGCCTCCACCAAATTGATGTCTATAGACAAAGAAAATCCTGCTGTCTCTTTGGGCAGGTATCTTGGAAATATACTGGGCCATATCATTCAAGTAAAAATTGGGGATGCTTTGAGATGTGGAGAGTCTGACGAAGGTAGATGCCATAAGGCTTCGGGCTTTCAAAAGCTGTTTGAAGCCGAGTGGAACTATAGAGTTAACTCTGTGTGTGTAAAACGAATGAACACATTACATGGACAGAAGGTGCAAACAATTCCACTGACAGAAGATCTGAAAACGCTCACAGCATTCATCATCTGCAACATGAACCAAGCATCCACAGCACTGCGGGAACACCCGATGGCTTGTGATTGGACAAAACTTGCAAAATTGACTATGTGCAGGCTGATTCTATTCAACAAACGAATGCGAGCTGAAGTGAAGGACTTGAAGGTTGACGACTAAGAGACTAGGCCGAACTGGCAAGATGATCAGTCTGGGGAATTTGAAATGGCACTATCATCTGCAGATAAACTGTTAGCCAGCAGGTATGTTGATTCCCAGGTTGAAGTTTTTGAGCAAGCTTTTGTAAAGGCCTACCATTCAGTTAAAAACAGTGCTACAATGCTGATTTCGAGCTCATTAATATCACGTTGGGGTCTAATATTGCTGCTATGAATTCAAATTGTGAAATTACCGGTAATTTAAAAAAACAATCTCCATTTTTGTCGCATTTTGTACTTAGATCACAGGTTAAAGTTTTGTCAGCAAGTTTTTTAGTGTGAAGGTCTCTCAGGTCAAGGTCATTGTTCAGTCAGTGTCAAATGCCTGCATCTAACAAAGCATGCCGTAGTGGGGGCATCATGTCTCCGACGTAATGCTAGTTATATTACACTTACAAGGCATCACCTTGGAGGAAGGGGATCTAAAGTACATTTGTACCTCGGGAGTTTTGGTACCTCAGTACATGGGGATTTTTCCCAATGTCCACTAATTTGTCCTGCATCCCGGGAGACTGGCTAGGTGGGGCCCAACAATTGATTCAGGTGGGTGATCGTTTAGGCTGATTGAACCTTTTTTTTTTTTTAGAATGGACATGGTCATCTCTGCTGGAAAGTCGCGCAAGAATGTGGATGCCTATGTTCTCCTGCCTCCGGATACGAAAAATGCAATAGACCTCCTAAATGGACTCCGGAAAGATGTTGGTGTGCGATCCACAAAAAAGTACATTTTTGCCAGATTGAGTTCTGATTCTCCACTGACGGGCAATACAGATCTGAGGGAAACAGTGGATAGCTGTCCAGGGATCCAGTTTCCTGAGCGGATCAGTTCGACAGCTCTTCGGAAGTACATTGCTACTGTGTCGCAGGTTTGTTTACACTTTCAAACTTTGATATTTAAACAGACTGGACCGACTGAAAACTTTATGAGAGACCATCAGAACCTGAAGATTGGATGTTTTACTCATATGTAAGGAACATGTCTATTTATCTACTATATGACCTTAAGGAAACTTAGTAGTATGTATATGGATACATCGTGGGAAGATAGCCATGGTGTGACGGGTACCATATACAATTATTGACTTTAGTTGAGGTTTACATGCGACTATGTACAGACCTGGCCAAGAATTTGTTTACCAAGGCCAAAATTAAAAGTCAATAACTAACGAAAAATTGAGCAAAACTTGAAAACTTTAGCTTTTGCATTTGAATACATTTAGAGCCGGAAAAGTTTCACAGCACTGTTTGTGTTTCCTCTGATATTTAACGAATCTTTATGTTTTAAGATCTCTTGCAACTATTCTTCGTTAATGGACGCAAACCTCTCTTGGGAGCAAATCGTCTGCCATTTCCGTGAAAGTGAAACAAGTGAATTCCGAATGGCATTTGTTTGTAGCACTCTGATTGGCTGCAAAACGATAAAACGCATTTTCTGATTGGTTGTCGCACAGCGAAGATTGCTGACCTCGCTGTGCTGTATTTAGCACAAAGAGGTGAACATGCATTTATATTTATCACAGACGGGTGTACTCGTCGATATGTAACATCAGAATCAAGCAAAACACGAAGCCATATAACAAAATAAAAAGCAGGTCATTAGAGTTTACCCTTTGTTTGCTCCCCGGAAAATTTGGGAAAGCATGTTGTTCCTGCTTTTCATGCAGGACCACTAACTTGATGAAACTTCACTTGTCCCATTGGACATACCTTGGACAAGTTCGAATAGAAGCATGATTGCCCAATGTCAAGGTCACTTCATAATATTTGAACAAAAAACCCCGGACATGTTGCTTGTCTCCACCCTAGCAGCCGTATTTCAATATGGATTTTGATCAAACTCAACACCAAACTATGTCAGATTGAGTTCCCTTGGATAAAGAAATATTGATACCACATGCTATTTTTATCTAAAAGAGCAATACTATATCGATTTCTTTTATTACAGAGTATTGAACGTAACAATAACAATCTAAAATGACCTTATATCCTATTTGTCCTTTGGGAGTGTTTAATTTGCCCAGTATAAATGTAAAAACGATGTTGTTTATTTCGAGATTATGACAATATGGCAGCCTCCATCAGCCATGCCAGGCATGCTTGAAATCGGAATGGCAATGACCTCCTCTTGTTGAATGCATGATTGGTCATGATTGAAAACAGGTGTGGTGCTTCTTTCTGGGGGTGTTAGGGTATTGTTTCTACTGTTTAATGATGTATTGTTCAATATTGGAGGCCAGTGAGTGGATGATACACTGTCACACTTGGCTGGCCATGCTCAGTGGTTGATCTAATAAGCCAATCAGCCCCCCATGAAAAGTTGAAACAACACCTTGCATTAGTGTCAGGGGTTAATCCAAGCTTCAGTAGACAACTTGAGCTGTTAGTTTCGGTCACGAGAAGGCAAATAGCCCATGAATACTACAATAAGGCAGATTTTACAAATACAAGATTTGAAATCGGAATTTTCAGGTGGAAATATTGGAAATATGAAGATTCTGAATGTAAAGCGATAGGCAGAAAATGTTACCTGAAAGCGGAAGACTACCGCCGAAAGCGTTGGGTTTAACATGTCTTTTTCGGAGTGAAATGTTGATTTGAATATTGCTTTGACCTTAGATCCTCGATATGACCGACCCTGAATTGGAGATGCTTGCAAGACATCTAGGACATGATGTGAAAACACACAAAGAAAATTACCGGCTATCACACTCGACTCGAGAACTGACAAAGGTATGTTAAGAAACATAGTTAAAACAAGAATACAATAAGATAGTTTTCCAGGTAAACCCGAGAGGAAGGGGAATTATCAAATATTTATTTTATCAAAATATTAGATACTTTCTCCAAATGAATAACATGTATTTTATGTACAGGGGAGCCTGCTTAAAGGGACATTTTGCTATAGTTTGTGATTATTTTAGAAAATCGGGTTATGTATTACCCAAATAACCTTTAATGAAAAGATGTTATATTCTTTTGACAGGTAACAGTCTTGTTATGTTAGAAAAAAACATTCTTGAGAATCCTTATTGTGGTACCCAACTTTTTATATTATAATTAGGCCGAGAAGGTATATATAGGTACTGTGATGAATGTACATATCGTAATCCTACCTTCGCTGATTTAGCATATTATTCAGGTTAGATACGTTGATCTGTTGGCGTTAATCATTTGTGTTATGTCTCCGTAATTCGAACGCTTAGAAGACAGATAGTTTTCGAGGTACAATCAAAACGTACAGGTGATTATACCTCACTCACCGCTAGGTGTCGCTAGGATAGCAAGAGGGTATAAATAGGCAGAATCCAGCGACAATCAGCCCAGTTCTGTTCTGATCTCGGCGTGTGTACAGCAGTGAAAGATCGCAAGTACCTAATATATGCGAGACCGGCTTTGTGTTGGAAAGATAGAAGTGACTGAGTAAGTCTTGCCTTGATCCACACACTGCCTGGAAGATATATTAAATAAACGATTGAGTGCTGTAGCGGGATACTGTTAGACAGAAGGTATCACGGGCATAGGCTGTGCAGTGCTAGTCGCGACTAGGCTAGTCGTGACTAGGTATAGTCGTTGGTGCTAGTCGTGACTAGGGGTAGTCGCGACCAGGCTAGTCGTGACTAGGTATAGTCGTTAGAGCTAGTCGTGACTAGGGATAGTCGTGGTCATTAGAGAGTGCTGTAGTTGTATACTAGTATGAGGCTGTCGTGATCGGCGCGACTAGGTCATATAGCTAGGTAGCTGACTATAGGGCAACTATAGTGACTAGGGCTAGCCGCGACTAGGTAGTCGAGTTGTGTACTGCCTGGATTGTACGGTAGTGTGTGTAGTGTGTTATATTGATACAGAGCAGATAGCTTTGGTATTAGTTCTATAGTCGTGCAGTAATTATTCTGTTCATATCATGTATTAAGCATTAGGTAATGGGTATGCTGGTTACAAGGTAGTAACACATATTTGTATATATTTGCAACTGTAGTATAGTTATAATTAAGCTTACAGCACAGGGATCCTTAGAAGTGACTAGGGTACGGACCCCGGAACGTTACATAATTTTGGTGGCAGCGTGTGGGATCCCTGTGGTTAGGTTTCAGTATTATAATTTGTGTTTATTAGAATAAACCTGTACTGTTTTTATAGTCATACCTTATAGTTATTTGTATTGGTTTGTGAAGATGGCTAGCTATGTAGAGGATGATGTTCTCAGTCCATTAGAGGATGTCGAGGAAACTGTTAGCCAGAGAGGGGACGGGTCGTACCATGGTCGTACAAGCCCTATGACACCAGGGATAAAAAGGCATGTCCATTATTCAAAATCTACACCTCGTAGACCTAGGGACTCTGGTATTGCATCGAGTGATAGAACTAGAGGGGAATATACACAGCACATAGATGTTCCCAGGCTATCCTCAGATATGGCTGTTGATAAGGTTGAGGATGAAATCAGACAAATGAGGGCTGAGTTGTCTAGGTTACAGACAAAGAGTGAAGGTATTCTAAAACCGTCTCCAACTACAAGGCCATATACTGATAGGAAATTGGACCACCCCAGAGAGAGAGCCCGTTCAAGAACAGAGCAGCTCCCTGACTATGTTGGTGACATTGATGGAGGTGGTCGAGATTGGGTGACACAAAGGAACTCTCAGAGACGTCGCAGGAGGCCAGTATATGAGCATGACAGCGGTAGTGAGGATGATGAAGAACAAGAGTATTCCAGAAAACCACGCAACACTCCAATGAAGGTCAGACATGTGAAGGCTGCAACATATGATGGTTCCACCTCATGGGTTGACTACAAATCTCATTTTGAGACTTGTTCCCGTATCAACAACTGGTCGGATTATGAAAAGGGTCTTTATTTGGCTGTTGCACTCAGAGGTCAAGCACAAGGCATCCTTGGGGACCTGGCCATATCAAAGCAAGAAGACTATAAGTCCCTGGTCAGCGCATTAGAAGAACGTTTTG